GAATATTGATTTAGATGTTTGGTTTTTTTTTTTATTGTGATGTTGTAATATGTTTTTTTGATTTATATTGTAGTTCTTTTTTATTTATTTATATGTTGTAATTGTTTAATTTTATAATTCGTATATTGTAAATTTTTCTTGATTATATACTGTAAATTTCGGTTATATTCTCAATGATATTCGATTAATATGTTGTTGTTCTTATTTATTTTAGTCAATTTAATTTTTAAGTGAAAAATGATAACAAAAAAAAAATGATTTTTGGGGGGTTTTTGGCACCAGTTAACCGGCGCCAAAAACTTTGAAATAATTTCATGTGGGCCTTTTTGGCACCGGTTAACCGGTGCCAATTTCGATTTTTGGCACCGGTTTGAACTGGTGCCTTTTTAAACCCCTTTTTGGCACCCCCCAAATTGGCACCGGTTCAAACCGGTGCCTTAGGCCGGGTTTGAACCGGTGCCAAATTCATTTTTTCACGTAGTGTTTTTTTTTTTTGTTTTATTATTGCAGTTAATCTTTCCCATTTGGTACAAAAATCACTACACTCTGATGGTTTTCAATCTTATTCCTGATATAACTCCACATATAGATTGGATAAATAACAGGACTGACATTGATCGTAACAGGACTGACATTGATCGATCTCACTTGTATTTAATTGATAAGTATTTGGTAAGTTTTTTGTCTAGTAACTATTTCATTTTGTTTCTTAAATATTACACTTTTAGATGTTTATATATAAAAATATATATATATTTATATTTACAGATCAGATCTGTTCATCATTTTTTGCAAAGTAAAGGACATCCTTTAGCGGAAATAGTTTCTGACTTGACATGGAATACTCCAATTTTTAGTTGGAAGACTAGCACTGAAAATTATGATTGTGAGCTTTTTGCATTAATGTGTATGCAAAAATACAATGGATTTGATGGAGGACTAGTTGATTTAAAAAGTGTAAGTGTTTTTCTGTCTTGATATTTTTTGTTATTTAAACTAATTATTTTTTAGTGTTTTTATTTCTTTATTTTTGTATAAATTTGCAGAAACAAAATCGGAAGTTGTATAGATGCAGAATAGCATATAATTAGGTTAATAGAGAAGACAATTTTTTGCGCAAGCAATTATGGAATTCTTGCATTGAATTTTCTATTAACAAAGACAAAATTTTAAAAGCTCAGCCTGCAAGGAAGAAGCTTGAGGCTCAATATAAAAAGGATGTAGAAGCTATACAGAAAGAAAAAGATAGGAGATACAAGTTGGAGCAGAAGAAACTACAGGAAATGGAAAAACAGCAGAATATAGACCAAAGTTAGATAATTTTATTTTGTATATCTATTACCTTTTTGTAGTTAAATATTAGGTTTGTTTTGGTTGATAAACTTTGTTTATACATTTATTTATATATGTATATATTTTCCTTTTCCTTAATATTATCAATCAGGTGTACATGCGTGTTTTTGCATAAGTTAGTTTATTTTTATCAAGAAAAACAAAACTCTGTTAGGAGATAATATTTAAGGAATGAGAGAATATTATCAGGGAATAAATCATATTAGTCGGTAATATCATTACTATGTTCAGAAATTATATTTAAGAAATGAGTGATGTTAAACATGTTAGTCAGGAATAGAATTATTTTCTTCAGAAATTTGATTAATTCTGTCGGGAATAATAAAAATTATCAAAACTTAATTTTGATTATAAATCTAAAATATCAAATCAAAATATACTAGAATTAAAAATAATATTTTTTACAAATATTTTTAATGAATAAAAATTATTTGATGAATGTCTCAATATTAAATGAGTTGTGGATTTGGAGTTTTGGTACCAAACTCATTTGGATCTCTAGTTGCTGTTCTTCTTCTTTCAAAATGCCCTCTAATTCTTTTGTTTTTCTTTGGCCTTCCTTTTGTTTTTGGTCGTTTTGGATCTTTTACAGCATTCCTTCTCTCTTGTTCTTCATCAAGCTCACGAATTTTTTCTTCATTTGTTTGGAACACTTTTCTTACAGATTTGTACATTTGTTCCAAAGCATCGTCACATAATTTTGTTGCTTCTTCATTCCCTTGACATATACTTACAAGGTTGTAGAAATTCTTTGTTATTGATTGCCTCCAAGGAGTGTTTATTAATGAATGATCAATAGTTGCATTTCCTAACAAAAAATAAATAAATAAAATAAAAAAATTATTACATTTGTCATAAAATAATATAGGTCAGGAATAAATATATCTATATCAGGAATAATATCATTATTGTCAGTCATAAAAATATATCTATATCAGGAATAAGATTACAATATCAGGAATAAGATATGTATAATCAGAAATAAGAATCTAAATGTCAGGAATAATGTTAAATTTTTCAGTAAAAACAATTTTGTTTCCCCTTGAGTCATAAGTGTTCATGTATCATAAAAAGTTATAAAATATGAAAATATAATATATTTTATGATAAAAAAAGTTATACAAATTTGACTAAAGTCAAAATAAAGTTATATAAAACTGAAAAAGTATTTAATTGCAACTTCAAAAAGTCATAAATATCTTTAAAAAACTGAAAAAGTATTTAATTGCATTATCAAAAAGTCATACTAATCAGATAAAACTGAAGAAGTCATATAATTTCAAAGTAATTTATTCCATCATGAAAAAGTCATAAAAAAAAGACAAATGTCATAATTTCTTCTGTTAAATTACATGTCAATTATTGTTGTTCATACATAACATATTTTCTATTTAAAGGTTGTTTAAATCAAGCTTTTCTATTAAAAACCTTAAATTAACAACCTCTATTGTTTCTATATAAGGTTGAGTCCTATTTTTTCTTTTGTACATTTTTTAAGACAATGGCTGATTTCTATGAAATTTGGCAAAATGTTTTGTTAAGTTCAGATCAATTTATCGGCTTAGTTTGGTAAAAACATTTAGCTTTATACTTTTTTTTTGTTTTGTATCTTAGTAAATATTTAATGTTTTAATTCTATTTTGTGTTTTTTTTTTATTTCAGCCACTTCCTGCAGATTGGAAAAGTTTTCTGTTAAGATTCACAGGTCCCGTTAGAGTCTATCGTGGAAATAATGGAAGATTTTGGGAGGTTAGAGTGTTAAGCGTACCACAAAATACAGGAACCTATGGTGGTTGTTTAATTGATGATGGTTGGATAAGATTTGTATCATCAAATAATATTGTTGAAGGAGAAAGACTGGATATTTATCAGGAAATTTTAGATTTTAACACCAGACAAATCACTGAAAATTGATATTAACACCACCAAAAAAAAATTTATTTTAACACCACATAAAAAAATTAAAATTAGAATTTACCACCAAAATCTTGCTTCTGTTAACGGAACTGTTACTGGGCCCCACTCCAACGGATAGTTTTTACAAATCCTCTTATAAATGCACGATTTTCTCCATTTTTCTTCTTTTGTTAGCAAATTTTTCGATTACGTAAGTTGATTCTGGTCGCATTTCATTCCAAAAGGCAATTTCATATCAAGAATTCTAGGGTTTGCTTGGTACAAGGGAGGAATTTAAGGTAGTAACAGGTATTTTTGTTCATACATCAAAATCGCACCTTCTCTCCAATGTAATGGCAAATTGAGCTTGTTTGGTATTTAATTATTGTTTAAATATGGTTAGTTTAGTAATTTAGTCATGTATTATGCTGGATTTGGTGATTGGATTAGTAATTTAGTCATGTAAATGCACAATTTGCAGGTGTTAGGGTTTAATTGAAAATGAAATTGGGGGTTTTCATGTTAATGAGTTTTAATTGAAAGTTGTTGTTGAGAATATTAATTCGTATGTGTACAAAGCATTAAACGTTATATTCATCCTCAATTGATGCAGATTATGTCTTCTTTGAGCTATTCCCCTTCAAAGGAGAAAAAATGCAACTACGGAGTGGCAATGGTGAGGCTAACTAGCTGGACTAGGGAGAATCCAGGGAGGAAGTTCAGAGCTTGCAAGTTTTTTGATCCAGTCACAGAATCAAGGGGGTGCAAGGTCTTCGAATGGGTTGATCAACCCGATGGGACAGAATGGCAAACAGGGGTAATCAACAACCTCTTGTTGGATAAGAAGCTGCTTAAGGGTGAAGTGAATGAGTTGAAAAAGGAAGTTGATGAAATCAGTGGGCAAAGGAGGTGCCTACTCAATGAAGTTGACAATTTGAAGATGAGATGCAAGGCTTTGAATGCTGAAAGAAAGAGAATGAACAGGGACTGCAAGGCAGGGGGGTCTCTTTAGTGAAGTATTTATGGGTGGGCATGGCTATCTGTATTAGTTTGTCAATTGGTGTAGTTTTCCTAATGGTTAGGGGTGTGTAGTTGTAAGCAAATAGAAGTAGGTGTTTGAATTATCATTTTGTGACTTGAATTGTTGGGATCTTTTGTGTAATGAAATTCCAAATTTCCAAATATTTTAGTGAATGAATTGTTCCTATTTATTATCATGTGGTTGTTGTTCATTCCTGTTGGTTTTAACTTGAAATTGAAAACATGCATGCATTAAAGTAGGGATTGATTGGGGAATTGGTGTAGTGAACATAAATATTCATAAATACTTGCCAAAAGGTTTTTACTTCAACCTGTTTTAATGACAATGACAGCCATACAAAATAAACCTAACCCAAGTTTCTGATTGTTCAAATGTTAATGCTAATGACAACCCAACAAAAAACTGACATAAGTGAAACATAAAAACACATTGTTTTCTAACTATTACATCACTGAGTGAGGTTTACACCCTTGATATTTTGCAGCTTGCCCCTTGTTATCACACCTGTGTGTGATGGTTGTTGAACTAATGTTGTTGCAGGCTGGCTGGAGGAAGCATTGAGCTTTGACTTAACCTGCTGCTTTGCCTTTGGCTGCTTTGCCTTTGGCTGACTTGAGATTGGTTGACTTGAGCTCAGTTTTAGGAATCAATAACTAAGTCAGCTTGCAGAACTAACTTAATACAAGTACAGAAACACATGGTTCAAGTGTTATACCTTTTTGGCAGCTTTGACTTCTTTCTTCTTCCTCTCCTCCACCATCCAAGGAGTATTGGAGGGTGGTCTGCCTGGTGGCCTTGGCTCATCAGTTGCTGGTGCAGCAGGGTTTTTGCAGGTCTTGGCATAATGACCAAAACCTGCACATTTACTGCATTGTTTCTTCCTCTTTGCTGTGTTTGGATGTGCACTTGCAGTAGAGCATTCCCCTGATTCAAGTTTTCTTTTTTTGCTCTTTGGTCTTCCAGGCTGTACCTTAAATGCAGGAGGCTGTGGTTCCCTCATATTCACTCTCTCCCAGTGTTTGGGACCAGGCATGGGTTGGAAACATGGTTCATAAGCCTTCCTGTATGAGTCCATGGTGTAATAAGGGTCCACATATGCCTCTATGTCACCCCTCATGTCCATCATGCATGAATAAGCATGCACACAGGGAATCCCAGTTAGTTCCCAATGATAACAGGTACAAGTTTCCTTTTGTAAGTCCACACACTCTTGATCATCCATCAACTGCACTTCAAATGTTTCATCTCTTGATGGTTGCACAACACACTTCCTAGAAACAAATTCTATCCTAGCCAAGACATTCCTCACATAAGGGGTAAGGTTGCTTGTAATTTGTTTAGAATCCTCCCACTTCTCATTGTTCCTATTCATTACATACCTCCTCATCCATTCCATTTGGGTGAGGATAGGCTTATCTCTGGCAGGCCTGATGACTGCATTGAAAGTCTCACACACATTGTTTAACAACATGTTGGACTTGCAGTTAGATGAAAATGCATGTCTTGACCAAGACTGGGTGGGAATGTTCACCAAATAGTCATATGCCTCTTGTGATAATTCTTTGATAGAGTCCATGGAAAATTTGAAGTTAAATTGACAGTAATGTAAGCAAATTTAGCACAGGAACCAGTTCAAAAGCAAGAAAAGAACAAACATTGAATATGTATGAGAATATTACTTACTTCAGTTGTTGATCTAGCTGCTGCCCAAAACAGTTCCTTGTATGTTGACCCAGGGAATTTGAGCTTGAAGTTTTCCCAAATGTGCCTAACACAGAATCTTTTTTCAGCTTTTGGAACTACATCAGCCATTGCTTCCAGCAGACCCTAGCATATTCATTCACAAATTGAATAAGTTGTCCTAATTACTTACATAAAGATAACATTAACAACTAAAAATGAATATGTAAAAGTAAAAACATGAACTCTTACCTTTTGTCCGTCTGACATTATTGTCAGCCCTGCTCCTTGATCATGTGTGAACATTTCCATAAGGGACTCTAAGAACCAACCCCAACTCTCTTTATTCTCTGCCTCCACTGTTGCCCAAGCTAGAGGGAATAGATTGTTATTCCTATCCTTAGCTACTGCCACCAGGATTTGCCCAGGATATGCACCCTTGAGGTGACAAACATCCACCCCAATCATTGGCCTACAGCCCTTGGCAAAGCCATCTCTCAAAGGCCTCAAACAAATGAACATTCTCAAAAATAAAGGGGGCTCAGGACTGTCTATACCATCCACAACCACATTGCACCCAAAACCAGGGTTATACTTCATCACAGCTCTTCCATAATCCCACACCCTAGCATACTACTCCCTTGCTGAACCAAATATGATGAGTTTAGCCCTACACCTAGCCATCCATGCTTTAAAGTATGTCACCTCAATTCCCAAGTCATTAAGAACCCTAGACCTAATATCCTTAATTCTCCATGCAAAATTACTCCTAAACTCCTCTAAGTACTTGTCTGCTATGTATTCAGCAGTAATCATCCTGTTCTTCTTCACTCTAAGACAAGTGTGTTTCAATTTACAGCTTTTAATTTGCCAAGTTTCTTGCTTCACTAGTTTTGATGCATACACCTTAAAATGACACTTTACTCCCCCCACATATGTACATGCAGGCATTCTACAAGTATAACTGTTGAACTTACAGTCACATCTATACCTACACTGTACTATAATCCTCCTACTGTCATTATGCAAGAAATAAAACTCATACCTCTCTTGTATGGCATGCAGTCTCAATACCCTTCTCAAGATTGCAGCATTCTTGAACTTCTGCCTTAGCTGCAGCTGGATGGGCTTTTGGAAGTCCACATCTTCATTAAACCATGGAGCAGTATCCTCCTCCGAATTAGATCCACACAAGCTTCTGGAACTCTCTGAATCACCATCTTCAGCCTCTTGATTGACCCTGACTGTTCCTATATCCAGGTCATCTTTCAGATCTGACCTCTTATCTTTAACAACACCATGATCTATGCCACTACCCTGCAGTTTCCTCAAAGTCTTGTTAACCTTCTCTAGGATCTCCTTATACCCTTCAATAAATCATTCTTCATCCCCTTCATCAAATTCTTCTTCACCTGGTTCCCAATCTAAGTCATCATCACTGTAATCTGAGCTAGAGTAATCAGATTTATTGCCACCAACATCCTGCTCTTCAAACACCAATGCTTTAGCCTTTACTGAGGCTTTACCTTTCACCTTACTCTTCTCTTTTGAACTACAAGACACTCCAGCTTCTGCAACCTTCCCCTTTAATTTCTGCCTCAACAAATTCTCCCTTGGTGGACTTTCCTCCCTTTCAGTTTCAGTCTTCTTAAACCTAGGGCTACTCCTATTACTGGCAGTAGAAGTACTTTGACCCTTCCTCCCTTTTTTACTAACCTTATCCTTTGGGTGGGGATTGGGTTGGGCCTGAGTTATGGGCTTCAAATTAGGCTGTACTGTGACAAAGACTTCAACATACCCCTCTCCATTTCTAGTCTCTAAAAGGCCCCTCACTTCATCACTATTGATTAATTCTCTTCTACCAGTGTTAAAGGTTTTCCCCTTTTGCCTATACCAACAGTTGAAATACACATGCACCTCCATATCACCATTAACAAATCCATGAATTGCAGCTGACCTAATCTCCTGTACATCCAACTTAGACACTTGGACTTTTCTTCTCCAATAACACCACCCCCCACACCAACAAAGCAACTGTCTATCTTTGCTAACTCTTTTAGGGACAAAAGCACCCCCCCACTCTTAGACAGATGTCAACCATATTTTCATTGTCACCCATTATCTACCCACCAATAACACAGATAGAATAGTATTATTAAAAGCAATATAATAGCAACACATTACTAATCAACTACACTAATTGAATATTTAACTACAAAGAATCCAGTCCAACATGCATCAATAAACAAATCACACATATACATTCAATTCACATAAACCCCCATTAGTTAATCCCAAATTTCAACCTAAACCACTAATTAACCTAATTCGCATAATCAATTTCAAAATATTCGATTTTTCTAGGGTTCTCTGTTTCAATTGCAAAAAGTAACCCCAATAAAGCATATTGCAAAATTGACATCAACCATTCACCAGTAATTGCTGTAAAAAGATTAAAAAAAAGATACCTTCTTTGGAATCTATCAAATGTAATTGTCAGATCGCCAACAACTTTCTCCCTTTTTTGAAGATGAATGACGAAATCGATCCTCGAAGGCTATTCTTCTGCAACAATGACAGCTCCCTTGTACTCTGGTATCCCCGACCACACAATTTTAAGAAATTGAATGCCCTAGATGAAGATATTATTTTGAGTACATGAAGAATCAGAGAGAATTCAATGAAGATGGTTGGAAGTAATCAATGAAGAAGGAAGAATCGTGTTTACTATGTCTGAAAATTGGAGGTAAACCTAAAACATGGGACCCACGTCAATTTTCCGTCACAGAAACCGTTATCTGGTGGTAACTTCTAATTTTAATTTTTTTTATGTGGTGTTAAAATAAATTTTTTTTTTTTGGGTGGTGTTAATATCAATTTTCATTGATTTGTAAGGTGTTAAAATCTAAAATTTCCTATTTATCATGATAATGATTCAAATTTTTACATTAGAGTTTTTCGCCCTAATGGTAATGAGAAGGTTCCTACTGAAGTAGAAAATGATATTAATGTATAAGTTTATTTGTAAAGATTATATTAATTAGTTTACAATAAGTTTGTAATAAATAAGTTCATATTAATAAAAAAAATAATAATATTTATAGCAAGTATAAAATTATGTTTGTCATAATTAAATTGTTTTATCAGATTTTAACAATATTTGTTTCAGAAAAAGGAAAAGATTCGTCGGGAATAATATAATATTTGTCAGGAATAAGTTTTTATAATTAGGAGTAATAATACTTTTATTTTATATTTAATTAACAAATAATAAATTTTAAAATAACAAAGTATGTACGTACCTGATTCATTCTCATCTCATATCATTGATTTAGCAAGCTTTGTCCAGCGTTTCAGAATGTATCTCTCTGGTATAGCATGTATGTTGTACATTTGCATTATCTTGAGAATGTGAAAGCACAGCAATCTGGTCTCTGTGAAGCACATACAAGAACACATAAATTCATTGTTTTGACAGTGATATATGACTTGATAGGTGTGCATATAATCTTCATCAAGAGAAACATCAAAGAATTTGACGTATTGCATTGAAGTTGGCTTTTCCTTTGCATATGCTCCTAGGCTGGTCTCAAATTCCAACTTAAAATCCTTGTATAAGTTCAGAGTATAAACTTCAGCAGCATGTTTAAGATTTTTGTTGTTGTTTTTGGTTTCTCAGTAGTAAATATGAAGTTATCACTCTTTTCAGTGCTTCTCCATCTTCTCACAGTAGCTTCAAATATATGAAAGAACTCCAAAAGTTTAGTGGTTCTGTTGGCCTTAAATGAAATTGCTTTGTTTGTTACTTCTACTCTTTGAGATGAAAGGATTCCCGCAGAGAAAATATCCTTGCTCAAAGCAGTGCACCATTTTTCTCGTAGCCCGAACAACCTATCAAACCACTCTTTTTTTTCTAATCCATGTTTTTGAACCATCTTGTTCCAGACATCTTCGAATTCTGATTCTGAATCACAGCCACTTAAGCACTTGTGAAACATATTCTTGAATTCAGGGTTGTTTTTTAAATTTACAAAGTGTGATACAAAATTCTTTTGGAAATGCCATAGACACAATCTATGTCTTGAATTTGGATACACCTGCAACAATTATAGAACAATTTGATTATTTTCTTCAGTTTTTATATTATTTTGATCAGAAATTACATGATATTCATAAGGAATTAAGTGATATTCAAATAATTTCATTTATAGTTAGATATTAGATAAATAATGGCAGTAATTAATAAATTTTTGTCAGGTATTAAAGAGTCAAAGTTAGATATTATATAACTCAAGTCAGTTATTAATCTATTTTTGTCAGGCATAACAATTTATTAGTCATGAATTAAAGTGTTTTAATCACATATTAAACAAATAATGTCAATTATATATTTCTTCAACAATTGTAGAACAATTTGATTTATTTTTATCAGTTTTTAGATTATATTTATCAGGAATTACATGATATTCATTAGGAATTAGCAAAGTTATAGTCATTACTTAGACAACATAAATCAAATAATTTCATTTTATAGTCAGATATTAGATATATAATGGCAGTAATTAATAAATTTTTGTCAGGTATTAAAGAGTCAAAGTTAGATATTATATAACTCACGTCAGTTATTAATCTATTTTTGTCAGGCATAACAATTTATTAGTCAGGAATTAAAGAGGTTTAGTCAGATATTAGATAAAATAAATCAAGTATTGTAGTATTTTCTTCCGAGAAAACATTTTTTAATACAGAAATTAACACATTTTGTTCATATATTAGATAACTTATATCAAGCAAAAATTGTTTTACTAGTGTTTGATTTTACTTAGAGTTGCTTTCAGTACTTTGTGATTTGGATAAAGATATTTAAAATAAAGATATTTAACATAAAGATATTTACCTAGACTTTTGGATAAAGATGACAAAAATGTAAGAATAAGAATTATTCGTAGAAAATTATTCTAAAAGTAAAATATTTTTTAATCTCTTATATTTGTCTATAAAACCAAGAATTGGTCATACATTTTGCATGTTTGTGTTCCTGTATATTCTCTCTCCTAAAACATACTCTTTTTCTTTATTCCTCAAATATGGAAAACAATTCTCAGTCTTCTACTTCATCAAACGATCCAGAAGAAAATGTTTTTGATAACTTTGAAAAGAGATTAAATGATCTACTTGAGAGAAAAGATAGAGTGAAGAATGGGTTGATGAAGCTGTATGAAAAAGTTGAGAAGAACGAAATCGAAGAACTGAGGAAGAGAAAGAGGGTTGAAGAAAAATTCCAAGAAGAACAAAACAAAAAAAAAAGAAGAAAGAAGACGATCAACAAAAGAAGAAACAGGAAGAAGAAAAAGAAGATCAAAAGAAAAAACAAGTTTAAAATTTCAAGAGATGATTAAGATTCTAGGGTTTTGTTTTTTTTTTGGATATATTATATTTTTCGAAATAGTATATGAAATCAAGTATATTTCAGTAATGTACTTTGATTTTATTTTGGTTTCTCATGTATTGTCTTTTTTTCAGTAAAATACTTATTGGTCAAAAATTAGTATATTTAAATTTTCATATAATAGGTTATTTTTTTGTCAATAATTATAATATTATACTCAAGAATTAAAGAGTCAAAGTCAGATATTAAACAAGTCACGTAAGTTATTAATAAATTTTTCTCAGATATAACAATATATTAGTAAGGAATTAAAGTGTTTTAGTCGGATATTAGATTAATAATGTCAATTATAATAAAAAAATATAATACTTTATATTTATAATGTCAATTAGATTAATAATGTCAATTAGATTAATAATTTCAATTATAATAAAAAAAAATATTCATATAATGGTTTAAATTTATCAGAAATTAGAAATATAATCAGTTATTATATTACAATATTTTATGTTAGGACTGAGTATTATTACGTGGGCAGATAAAAAGCCAGAAAATGATGAATTATTGATTTAAAATTAAATTACTTTGGAAAATGGGCAGTAAAAATTGATATAAATAAAGTATTTCAAACATCATTACTCCCAAAAAAATCTATATACCCTTTCATATTTCTCTTCTGTTTGTTAAAAAAACCATTCATTTCTAGTTTTTCAACAAAGGATGTTTAGCAATTTTGTTCAATTTTGTTCAGATATTAGATTAATAATGTCAATTATAATAATAAAGGTATAATACTTGTTAGTAAAAAATTTATATATTTAGTCAGATAATAGATTTAAATTTTCATATAACGGTTATATTTATCAGAAATTAGAAATATAACAATTATTATATTACAATATTTTATGTTAGGACTGAGTATTATTACGTGTGCAGATAAAAAGTCAGGAAATGATGAATTGATTGATTTAGAATTAAATTACTTGGGAAAACGCGCAGTGAAAACTGGTATAAATAAACACTACGTGAAAATATGAAATTGGCACCGGTTCAAACCCGGCCTAAGGCACCGGTTTGAACCGGTGCCAATGTGGGGGGTGCCAAAAGTGGTTTAATAAGGCACCGGTTCAAACCGGTGCCAAAAATGGCCAACAAAAATTATTTTGTTGTTTTTGGCACCGGTTAACCGGTGCCAAAAATGCCCAAAAATATTTTTTTTTTTGTTTTTTTTTTTGTTTTGTTTTTTCCAGCAAATTTGCAACATATCAACAAGAATCGAAAATTTGCAATATATCAACAAGAATCGAAAATTTGCAACATATCAACAAGAATCGAAAATTTGCAATATATGATAAAAAAAAATTACAACATATAAAAACTTTGATTACAGCATATAAAAAAAATTACAATATAAATCAAAAAAAAACTCATTCATTCTTGCTTGTATCTTGCTTCTTCGATTTCAGATCTAAATAACATACCTGCACCAATTAACACAAAAAAAATCGATTACTATAATTAAACTTCGAAAGAAAAAGCCCAGAAATTTAATCCCAAAAATTGAAAAAAAAATTCAAACCCAGAAAAAATTGAAATCGAAAAAACCCAGAAAAAAAAAACTTGAAATCGAAAAAAAAACCAGTTTTCGAATAAACCCAGAAAACGAAAACAAAAATTGAAATCGAAAAAATCCAGAAAAAAAATTAGAAATCCATTTAAATCTAGTATTCGAATAAACCCGGAAATTGAAAAAAATTAAAATAGAAAAAACCAATGCAAAAAATTATAAATCGAAAAAAAAAATTAAAATTGGTGTTCGAAAAAGCCAGAAACAAAAAAATTGAAATCGAAAAAAAATCCGATTAAAATCTGAAAAAAAAAAATCAAAATCGAAATTGATTAAAAATTTGATTTAAAAAAAGATTAGAAATTCGATTCAAATTAAAATCGATTAAAATTTAAAAAAAAAACCCAAAAATTCGATTGAAATCAAAACAATAACCCAGAAATTTGATTGAAATCGATCTACCCAGTAACCCAGAAAAAAAAAAAGAATTTAAATCGTTTAAAATTTTAAAAAAATCGATTAAAAAATAAATTAAAACAAAAACCCAGAAAATTAAAACAAAAGCCATAAATTGAATTGAAATCGGTGTTGCATGTGGTCTTCAAAAACCCAGAAAATCGAGATGTTGCATGTGTTCTTCGCGATTGTGAGGGAGTCAAAAAATTAAAGAGAATTAGAAGGAGAAGAAGGAGATCGAGAAAGATAAATAGAAATAGAACTATAGAAGGAGGAGAAGGAGATCGAGAATGGAGAAAGAGGAGGAGATGAGAGAAGAGAGAAAGAGGATGAGAGGAGAGAGAAAGAGGATGAGAGGAGTAGTTTTAGGGTTGGGGTGGATCCGTGGGTTTAAAAGGACCGATTTTATTATTATTATTATTATTATTTTTTATGGCTCCGGTTCAAAAAGGCACCGGTTCAAACCGGTGTCCTATATGTTTTTGGCACCGATTTGAAGTGAACCGGTGCCTTTTACGCTGGTTCAGTTTCCCACCAATTTTGTAGGTCATTTTTGGCACCGGTTTGGACTGAACTGGTGCCAATTAGGGGGTGTTTTTTTGATATTTTCTACTAGTGAAAGTATTTCAAACATCATACTCTCAAAAAAATCTATACACCCTTTCATATTTCTCTTATGTTTGTTTAAAAAAAAACATCCATTTCCAGTTTTTCAACAAAGAATATTTAGTAGTTTTGTTCAATTTTTATTCGAATTCAAGTATATTGTAACGTAGTATTTCAAATGGATCCAATAGACGACCCTCATTACATGGCTGCTCTAGAGGATGCTCCACATGCATTATCTGTTCCTGAAATCTTATGCATGTATATTTTTCCTAAGTGCACCCCTCGAGCGCAAGCGATGCATAATTGTGTTTGTAGGCATTGGAATGACTTATGGTATTTAAAAACCTGGATTCCTCATGTAGTTAGAGCCAGACAGGACAGTGAAAGGTGGTGGCTTGCAACTGATATTATGAGGCATAATGGATATGGCTTTCATAATTCAATGTTTCAAGATTGGGATGAATTTCTGGATGGGTTGCGATGGCTATTTAGGGATGAGGAAGATATGTGGAGTAAGAAAAGAAAGAGGGAGGAAGCTATTCAACCTGGTGGGCTGCAGAAGAAGATTAGGCTAGCTTAAATGCCCTGTAAATGTGTTTTTCTTTAATTAAAAAGCAATGTTTTGTATAGAATTGTTATGATCTTATATAGTTTAAAGTGACAGTGTTCATTTGCTTTTGTAAGGCATTGTCACAAGTATGACAAAATATTATGAATTAAGTGAAGAAATATATACTAATTTGGACTTATGTTTTTGTTTTTGTTAATTTTCTTTTATGTGCATAATGTTGGTGAATGAAAAAATACTTCTGAATAATTGCACTATGTTACCTCAATAAGGAATATAATTTTTTTTGTTTAAAAATTAGATTAATTTCATCAGGAACAGTTTTATTTTAGTCTGGAATTATAATAATTTATGCAGGAATTAACATAGTTTTTTTATCAGGAATAATATTATTTCTTTCAGGATAATTATTCTTTTACTCAGTTATTATATTATTTATGGCAGGAATTAAATCATATTTCTTAGAAATTATTTTTGTTGTATTTGTGTAAGGAATTGTAAAATTTAATTCAATTTTCATATTTTATAGTCAGATATTAGATAATTTTTGTCAGATAATACTATATTTTAATCAGTATTTAAATATATTCAGATTTTAATCAGTGTTTTGGAATTAATATTTTTAAGTCAGAAATAAGCTTAACTTAGACAGGAATTAGATTTTATTAGTCAGTTGTTTCATTTTTGGATTGGTTGATTTATGTCAGGCATAATAATATTTTACTCAAGAATAATAATATTTTAGTCAGGAATTAAAAAGTAACAGTCAGATATTATATAATTAACGTCAGTTATTATTCTATTTTTGTCAGGCATAATAATATATTAGCCAGCAACTAAAGTATTATAGTAAGATAATAGATTAAAAGTTTCATATAATAGGAATTAAGGTGATTTAAGTTATTCCATTGTATTAATAATCAGAAATAATATTATTTCTTTCATGATTATTATATTTTTAGTCAGGTATTATATTATTTAGGGCAGGAAATAAATCATATCTCTCAGAAAATTATTTTTGTTGTGTTTTTCTAAGGAATGATAAAATTTAATTCAGCGATTCTTATATTAAAGTCAGATATAAAATAATTCTAGACAGATATTACTATATTTTAGCCAGGATTTAAATATTTTTAGAGTTTAATTAGTGTTAATATGTTATTTGATTTACGTCAGTTATTAATCTATTTTTGTCAGGCATAATAATATATTAGTCAGTTTTTAGATTATTTTAATCAGAAATAACATGAAATTCATAAGGAATTACATGATATTCAAATAGTTTCATTTTATAGTCAGATATTAGATAAGTAATTGCAGTAATTAATAAATTTTTGTCAAATATTATAGAGTCAAAGTCAGGCATAACACTTTATAAGTTAGGAATTGAAGTGTTTTAATCACATATTAAATAAATAATGTCAATTATAAATCTATTTTCTTGATCGGTTTAAACTCAGATTTAAGCTAAACTTAAACAGGAATTAGATATTATTTGTCAGATATAATTTGATTTATCTTTAGTATTTGTTGATTTATGTGAAGAATAATAATATTTTAGTCAAGAATAATAATATTTTAGTCTGGAATTAAAGAGTAACAAGCTGATATTATATAATTTACATCAGTTATAAACTATTTTTGTAAGGCATAATAATATATTTGTCACCAATTAAAGTATTTTAGTCATATAATAGTATTTTAGTCAGATAGTAGATTAAAAATTTCATATAATAAGAATTAAGCTGATTTAATTTTTTTTGTTGTAATCGAGGACGTCAGTTATTGAAATGACCTTTCTTCTTCTTTGTTCCTTAGTTTCGCGCGCTCCCACCCTTTTCTCTTCTTTTTTACGGAGTACTATTTATTAACTCCAGTGAAGACAAAAAAAAAGGATATTCTCCTCTAACTTTTCATCTTCTATTCTCTGTTTGAGTGAAGCATTTTCTAGAAAAACTTTGCACGATCAGATCATAAATGCATTTTAAGGTAAATTTCTGATCATTTTATACATTTTTTTTCATTGATTTTAATTGTTGTGCTTTGGTGATGAATTATTGATCTTTTAAGGTTTATTATGAAATGTTATTTATTTTTAAAAAAATCCCCTTTCATATGCTAATTATTTTCAGTGTTAGGTTTAATCTTACAACTATTTTTATATTATGTTTATTTTGCGTTTTTTATTAGTATTTATCAATTTGTTGTTTATTACTTAAGTAATTTACTGCATGAATTATGAGTAACAATTCTTGAAAAACAGAGTATTTGTTGCATGAATTATGTGTAATTGTTGTTGTGTTAATACAATAATTATTGTGTGTTTTGTTAGGTTATATGGATCCAATAGATGACACTAATCATATGGTGGCTCTAGAAGATGCCCCACACGCGTTATCAATTCCATAAATTTTATGCATGTACATTTTTCCTAAGTTTCCCCCTAAAGCCCAAGGCATGTGCAACTGTGTGTGTAAGAACTGGAATGAACTATGGTTTTTTAAGGCCTGGATTCCTCATCATGTTAGAGCCCAACATGAAAGTGAAAGGTGGTGGATGGCCAAAGATATAATTAGGAATAATGGCTATGACTTTCATAATGGGATGGTTCAAGATTGGGTTGAATTTTTAGATGGGTTGCGTTGGTTATTTAAGGATGAAGAAGCTATGTACAGCAAAAAAAGGAAGAGGGAGGAAGCAACTCAACCAGTTATGCAGAAGAAGAAAATTAAGCTTGAATAGTCTTGTTGCTGTTAAAGTATAACTTGATGATTTAGGTAGGAATTCATGTATAGAAAATCTAATATAGTTTCTTATTTTATTAAAACTAATGTAATGATGATTTTTGAAGTACTAAGTTTATGCTTTTTTGTATTAATTTATATCCCTTGTTTTCATTGTAAAGATGATGAAGTTTTTTTATTTTGTTCTGTTTCTGTTATGGAGATGTATGAAGAAGGTATTCATTTTGTATTAAAAATCAGAAATAATATTATTTCTTTCATGATTATTATTTGTTTAGTCAGATATTATATTATTTAGGGCAGGATATAAATCATATTTCTCAGAAAATTATTTTTGTTGTATTTTTCTAAAGAATTTTAAAATTTAATTCAGCTATTCGTATATTATAGTCAGATATAAAATAATTCTAGTCAGATATTACTATATTTTAGTCAGGATTTAAATATTTTCAAAGTTTAATTAGTGTTAAAATATTATATAAGTTACGTCAGTTATTAATCTATTTTTATCAGGCATAATAATATATTAGTCCGTTTTTAGACTATTTTGATCAGAAATTACATGAAATTCATAAGGAATTACATGATATTCAAATAAATTCATTTTATAGTCAAATATTAGATAAATAATGGCAGTAGTTAATAAATTTTTGTCAGGTATTATAGAGTCAAAGTCAGATATTATATAACTCATGTAAGTTATTAATCTATTTTTGTCAGGCATAACAATTTGTTAGTTAGGAATTAAAGTGTTTTAATTACATATTAAATATATAATGTCAATTATAAATCTATTTTCTTCATCAGTTTTTATATTATTTTCATCAGATATTACATGATATTCATTAGGTATTAGTAAAGTTATAGTCATTACTTAGACAGAAATCAAATAATTTCATTTTACAGTAAGATATTATATAAATCATGGCAGTAATTGACATATATTTGTCAGTTATTAAAGAGTTAAAGTCAGATATTAAATAACTCACGTTAGTTTTTAATTTATTTTTGTGAGGCATAACAGTTTATTAGTTAGGTATTAAAATGTTTAAATTAGATATAAAATTTTAGTCATCTATTCGTATATTATAGTCAGATATAAAATAATTCTTGCCAGATATAACAATATTTTAGTCAGGATTTAAATATTTCAGAGTTTAATTAGTGTTTAGTATTTGATATTTTTAACTCAGAAATACATTTAACTTAGACAGGAATTAGAAAATATTAGTCAGATATAATGTGTTTTATCTTAGGCATTGATTGATTTAAGTCAGGCTTAATATTTTTTTCAGGTAATACATTATATAGTTAGTTTATAATTATCAGGAATTAAATAAAAAATTCAAGATTATTTTATTTGATACAAAACATATCCCAATATAAAATACAAATACAAATATTAAGCTGAAACTGCTTACCTCTGGTATGGCGTTGCTCATTGCAAGATCTTGATCAGTGAAGATTGATTTTGGTTCAATTCCACACATTGACTTTTTGAAGATTGAAAGCAGCCAAACAAATGTATCAGTCTTTTCATCAGTTATGAATGCACATCCAAACATTGTTGTTTTCCAGTGATTGTTTATACCAACAAATGGAGCACATATCAACCCATATTTGTTTGTTCTGTATGTTGTATCGAAGATTAAAACATCACCATAAGCTTTGAAATCTTCAAGCATTTGGGAGTCACGCCAAAAATAGCTCACAACATTATTTTCTTCTCCAAATTTCAATCTATAAAAGAATGAGGGATCTTGATCTGCTCTTTCTTGAAGGGTGTCTAATACATTTTGCATGTATCCACCTTCAACCATACTCATTTTCACCCTTGATACATAATTAAGGTGATCTCTCTTAGTATGACCTACACATTCTTCTCCTCCAGCTTCATTGCTTATATAATTATAAGCATCCATTGGTTTAATACCACTCTCAATTAGCTCACCCATTGGAGCTGATATTTGCCTTTCTGATCTTAAGTGATGTCTTTGAACTGTTATTACCAGTTCATGATTATGTTCCAACTCATGTGTAAGAACAGCAAATCTACCTTCTGTATTTTTCTTAAAACGAATATGACCTTTGCATCCAGTTCTTGTTTCATTTACCTCCCTTTCTTTTCTCTTTCTTTCATCAGTTTTAACCAATATGGGTATTTCTACTGATTGTTGTTCACCAACTATCTTCATTTTACCCTTTGTATGTCCTTCTTTAGAGCATCTAAAATAAAACTCATATGGTTTATCATTGGTATCTCTTCTTTTTGTTGATTTTCTGACACTGAAACCAAGTGATCTTGAATGAGCTTTGTATAAAAAAAATCCATCATTGTAGTCCAACACAATATAACCTACTAAACATCTACTTATGTTTTCAACCTTGTCATATTTGAAAAAATCTGCAATAAAAGTAAATATAACTCATATCATATCGTATTTTTGTCAGGAATTACATTATTATACACAGTAATTAAATATTTTTTAAAATTTATAATACTCAGGAATTAGCATTTTTTAGTCAGAAATTAGAATATTCAAATCAGGAATTACAATATATTAGTCAGGAAATAAATTATCATAGTCAAGTATAATATTAGTCAGAATAATATTAGTCAGGAATAAAATAATAAAAGTCAGGAATTATATAGGAAATGAAAAAGATATAGATAGTATTAGTCGGGAAATAGATAATAATAATCAGGTTTCATATAATAATAGTCAGTTGGATTTTTTAATTTAGTCATAAATACATTCAAATTGTAAGAAATTAGATAATAATAGTCATGAAATAGATAATTATAAACAGGTTCAATATAAAAATAGTCAGTTAAATTATAGCATACAGGAATTAGATTTTTCAATCCAGTAATAAACATTTTGAACTTGTCAGAATCAGATTATTATCACAAATTACCAAATTAGTCAGGAAATAGATTCTATAAGTTAGAAATTATATTGTTTTTGTCAGAAATTAAACTATATTAAACGCATACATCATTAAATTACAGAGCATTTAATTATCAATATACCTATTATAGCAGCATCTTCATTTCTTTCTTCAGCATCTCTTTCTTCATTGATGTTGTCTTCTATAATTACATTATCTGCTGCATACATTATTAGCATTAGTATATTTGAATTTTTCTTTAAAATTATCAGAAAAATAGATTCAAATTTAAATTAATTTTCTACGACATGTTATATATACAATTCGAATTAAAATAGCTTTTATTGCAAGTTATTTGTCGAACTTAAATGCTATCGGAATATAATTAGCATTGATTTTAAATTATAAGTCGAAATTAACTACGATTTGAAATTGAATTAAATTATGCTTCATTATAAATTAATAACGATATGTAATTTCATAAGCATTGATTGCATATTATAGGTCTAAATTAACTCGAATTTACATACGATCGGAAATTAAATCGAAATTTAATACGATCTGAAATTCAATTTGGCTTGCATATAGATTATAAATCGAAATTCATCATACAAATTCACTATTACATTTCACAAATATTATTTGAAATTAAAAACAATCTGAAATTATGAATTGTAATTTACCTTTTTAGCAGTAATTGAGCTAGAAATTAATTCTATGGGTGAATCAGATTCTACTTCAGTCATCATTGTGTTGTTTGATTTCTCCATCTTTTTTATTTGAATTGTTTGAAATTTGAAGATTTGAATGCTCTGAAATTTGAGGAAATGCAGTCGTTGAATTTCGTCGAAATGAAGGAGTGTGAAATTTTGAGAAAATGACGGCGCTCAAAATTTTAGGAAAATGATTAAAACAAAAAAATTCAGACATTTTATTAAATGGCGCGCGGGCTTTGGTCGGGTTTATCAGGCCCGCGCCTTTTTCATTTACAGTCCGGTCTCACGTGAGTCCAGTCTCACACAAAACGCTTTGATGTGAAAAAATCATGAGTAAATTAGGAGGTACAATGAATAAAGTTAAAAAAGTGAGGTTATAATGATTTTTACATACTATTTAAAAATAAAACCAGAACAATATTTTGGATTTTCAAGATTAGAAAACACAAACTATATAATGAGACGGGGATAGTAGGGAATGACTCTTGCTAAGGAGGATGCTCTTACTCAACTCTGCAAAAAATGGAGATTTTGTATTTGAAGAATGTAAAAATCATTGTTGTGTCAGCTTTCATGATTAAAAAAGCTCCGCACAATTTGGAAGGCAATATCAACAGTTTTACTACTTGTTACTCCCTCTATAACCCAATTATTTGCACAATAGAAAAATTTCATTTTTATTACAGAGTAAGTTTTAGTTGAATAAAATTGATGAGAAAGAAAAGTGGTAGGACCTAAAGTATTTTTGTTAGAGTAAAGTAGTGGTTCATAATCTTCCTATGTATATTAATTGTATGGAGTAATCTTTAATGAACAATTTAAAAAAGAAATTGGGACAAACAAAAAACATTATATGGAGTGGATTATAAGGGTCAGTCATCCAAAAAAGTTGATTCATTGTCTGTATACATTATGCGTGCCATAAACTTAAGTTACAAGTTAAAAAAAATGATAATAAAAATAGAGAAAGTAGAAAATTATGTGATTAGTATAGTCATTAAACTTGTGATGCTCAACGAGAATAATCCTTTCTTGTCAAAGTGGTTTTAAACTATTATTATCCTAATTTGTTTAATAATGAATCAATGCTGAACTATAAATTAATGCAGCTCTTAGGGCCTTTTAGTGCTTTGTGTCATTTATTTAATTAACTTACAGACTTACAGTTCATGTCTTTCTATTCTCTGCCAAATCCCAAATGAAAAAAACGTGAAACCCCTCTTTATTTGATTCTTTGTTGATGTAAAAGCTAAAATCCCATCAGAATTTAGTTGCTTTACATTCTTTGATTCTTATTCGCCCATTCCAAAATAAATACTTCAATTAATCTCCTTATTCGGTAATGTTTACCTCCCTCAGAAGTCATAAGATACTGGCCTTGTTTGGCAAATGGCTGTTGGTGGTTGGCTGTTGGCGGTTGGCTGTTGGCTGGTTCACTTGGCTTGTTTGACTAGCTGGAATGTTTGGTTGTTTATAATGGCTTTTGAAATTGATTGTTTAAGCTGACTGTTTATAAAAGTGTGGTAAATTAATTGTTGGTTATTGACTGTTTATTAGATAATTTGTGGGCCAATAAGCCACCAGCCAACAAAAAAGCTACTCAATGCAGCTTTTTCATTTTGGCTTAAAAGCCAGCTTTTTCGCTGACTAAAAAGCAAATTACCAAACACATTTTTTGGCTGTTTGACCATCTAAAAAAGCCAAAAGCCAAAAGCTAACCAAAAAGCCATTAAAAAGCCAATTACCAAACATGGCCACTATCTTTGTATGCATTCGGTGTGGGGAATGTATTTCATCAATATCTTTGATAAAAATTTACACTCATGAAATATATAGGGTAACTTTTTTTTTTTTTTTTTTTGAAGGAACAAAATATAGGTAACTTAGGGTAACTTTTTTTTTGAAGGAACAAAATATAGGGTAACTTTTAATTGTAAATCATTCTTTTTTATAGTGGCGGATCCGGGAATTGTATCTAGGGGGTTCGAACTTCATCAAACACTTGATGTCCGAATGCACGAATATAAATCGAGTATTCAAGCATAAAATAGAGTGTTCAAATAAATACTAATACATAAATACACAACAAAATAAGTCCAAAATTCCAAAAAGAAAGAGAAAATTGAAAAGGAAAAAAGAAATAATCAAGGAAGTTTCCCTGACCCTCAAACCTGGGACCTTATGTCCAAAAAGTTACTAACCTATCCAACTGAGCTGTGTGTTTAACAATATATATGTCTATTTCAAATATTATTTATATAGTATTTCTTTTTTTTTTTTTATAAACAATTTTCCCTTTTTTTTCCCGGATCTAACGGGGTTCAGTTGAACCCCCTGAACCCCCGCTGGATCCACCCCTGCTTTTTTATTGAATATCTTTCCTATTAAAGGTCAATCAATACTTAAATATTTTCGATATATACACAAATTCTTATATGTGGCACCATCCATTATAAGAGTATAGCCAATGGTTGCCCATTTAGGTGAACATGAAGAGAAAGAAAAATAAATAAAGCTTAAAAAATGAAAATGTTGTACTTTTGGTGAGAAATTGTTCATGACCGTTTGTTAAAGGTGGGCATTTAGTGGTATTTCAGTCTTATCCAACAAAGAGAGGTGGTTTAGTTTTATTTTTATTTTTTTTTTAATTTTAATTGATAGGGGCTCATATGGAAATGGAAGGAAAGGAGAATCAATGCCCACAAAATTGGAGGACAACCAATGTTAGTGTATGGGCATGGGAGTTGGGCATAAATGAAGTGCAAGAGAGAGAAAGTAATAAAAAAATATAATGCATACCATTAGCTTGGGTATCCATTGGCTATGCTTTAAAGATTACTTCGTTAGTGTTATAAGGGTTACTTGGTCAGTGTTATAAAGGTTACTTCGTCAATGTCATTAGGGTTACTCGATTAGTATCAAAGGGGTGATTACCGATCAGTATTATAAGAGTTACTTTATTTTGTTACAAGTGGTCACACGGTGTGGCCAACATCACAAAATTAAAGACAAACTAAAATATATGAAGGGGCAGTAAAAAAAAATTAAAGTTCAAATATTGGACACCAAACGATTTATTAACTTACTTACGTAATAAATAGAGTTTATACATATTATGCGTGATTAAAATTTTAATTAATATTTCGTAGAGATTTAGGGTCTGTTCTCATTGACTGAACTCAGCTGAACTGAACTTATTAGAGCTGAACTGAAATGAACTTAAATGAAATATTTTATAGGAAAATTTGTAAATTACCACCCAAAAAGAGGTCCTATTTTGAAACTACCACCCATTAAAACTTTTATTTTTAATTACCACCCCTTAAATTAAAAAAGTTTTCAGATTACCACCTTTTTTGGATTTCCGATGGAATTTTCGTTTGTGGGCCCCACATTACTAACTTCTCTCCTTTTTTATCTTCCATTCCCTCGACCTAACCTTCTGATTGTTACATTAAACACAAAAAACAACTTCTCTTATCAATTCCTTCAATTAATTCATCCAAAAGCATCAATCTTTTCCCTCTTCCTTCCTTTAATTCTCTGTCAAATTCACAGCTACCCCTAAAGGGTTGAATCAAAACCCTAACTTTTTTTTCTGCAAATTAAATGCTTTATTCTCCTCCATTTCTGCAAGACATAATCCAAAAACAAAAAAGGAACTAGCTTAGGGCCTGTTCTCATTGACTGAACTCAGCTGAACTGAACTGAACTGAAACTGAACTGAAATGAATATTTTATAAGAGAAGGAAATTAGGAGCTGAACTGAACTGAACTGAGCTGAACTGACTGAACTGAACTGAATTTCAACGTACGAGAACAGGCCCTTACAACTTTATTCAACTTTTAATCATTCAAATCTTTTATTGACAAAACACAAAACATAATAAACAATTATTCAACAAAATTGGACAACATTAAGTCGAATCAGCAGAAATCTAACAGAAACGCCCAATTAATTTCAGACAAGTAGCCTAATTGCAAAAAAAAAAAACCCCAATTTAATTAACCCAGGAACCCTAATTCCTAAATTAGCGAAAACCCCTAAATTATGAAGTTGTGGATTCATACCTTAGATGCGAATTGAGAGTATGAGCTTCAGTGGATAAATTCTTCACATAATACCAGCTGAAAATTGAGGAAATTTGGTTGACATTGGGGCAAAAGTTGTGATTTGAAGTTGGAGAATTTATAAACAAAAAAAAAAATCGGGGAGAGAGAGAGTCAAAAGAGTCATATTAGCCGTTATTAGCCGTTGTGTGGGACCCACAAACGGAAATTCCACCGGAAATCCAAAAAAAGGTGATAATCTAAAAAAAAATTTAATTTAAGGTGTGGTAATTTAAAATAAAACTTTTAACGGGTGGTAATTTCAAAACAGGCTCCTTTTTGAGTGGTAATTTACAAATTTTCCTATTTTATAAGAGAAGGAAATTAGGAAATGAAATGAACTAAATTGAACTTATTAGAGCCAAATTGAAGTGAAAATAATCGTATAAGAACAGGCTCTCACACGATCAATGTTATAAATTATAATGCATATTTTTACTCTTTTACAAATGGCCACATACAAGACGGGTTAATCTAATATATAATTGCAGAGTCGTTTTCACCACAACCCTTCAAATCTCCGATCCTCAAATCTCATGCATTTGAGTTTTTTTTTTTTTTTTTTTTTTTTTTTTTTTTTTTTTTTTTAAAAAATAACTATCATTCCATTACTTTATTTGTTTGTTTTTTAAACAAAAAAAAAATTGTATTTTTTCAAGGGATTGCAATAACTAATAATAACAATTCATTTTTTTCTTAAACACTATTAACATTTCACTTTGTGTTATTTTCTTTTGTGTATAATATGTGTCACGTATTAGCACGGATGCACGGATTTACAGTTCATTTATCAACAATTCACTATAGAACTCAAAATCCCCAACCGTTCAATTCAAACAACTTCCACTTCTCTAATAATCAAAATAAAAATATGTACAACACGCTTTTTGCGTAATTGGCCTCATCAAATAGTTGCTTGCAAAAGAACAAAGTAACCCCTCCTATAGCACTGATGGAATAACCCCTATGACACTAACCGAATAACCCATATGACACTAACCGAATAACCCATATGACACTAACCGAATAACCCCTATAACACTGAACGTGTAACTCTACAGCTTTGAAAAAGTAACCCCCATAATAGCTTGACACATTTGTATGACCACCTACATATAAGAGTAAGGTTTTGTTCTTTCGAGTTTATGAGCAGAATAGAGCACATCAGATTGCAAAAGAGTAGAGCATGTGACAATAGAGTAAAGCAGAGCTCAACAAAGTATGATTTTAGCAGAGTAGAGCAAGAGCAGACCATAAATAGTTCAAAATAACAGGTCATAAGTTACTACCTAAATCAATCCCGTATTTGAAATATATTTTTTCTTATATTATAAAATTAAAATCTTTCTAATATAATATATATCCCGTGCATTTTGCACGGGTGTACATTCTAGTAAGTATATCAATTTAAAAAAAACGGAGGGAGTAATTGTTCAACTTTTTTGTTTTAAAAAATGTGACAAAATTCGCCAACGAGAACACCCGGCAAATCCCTAATTTATCCCTTATCTCCCTAATAACTCCTGCATTTCCCATAACTACTTCTCAGCGTACTCACACACTCACCCCACCACCACCATCACCACCACTTCCTCCTTTCGCCGGCGATTACTTCGCCTCTCCGTCGACGCCGTCTCTGCCCTCCTAGGCGGCGTTCTTCTAACGTCCGCCGTATTCGCCAGCGTCTCCGCCTCTCTCCGGTGTCTCCATCTTCCTCTCTCTCCGAAGAAATCAAAATTAATCCACCAGATCTGAACACATCGTCTTCGAATTTTCCGACGAACATTTGATTCTGCTTTCTTTTGAATTTCGGTTAGATCCGATACCTAATTTTACTTGTTTGATAGTATTATTTTTTCAAAATCAATTTGGGGAATATGATAAAATGATGGTTGACCTAGGTTACTGAATGTATACAGGTATAAAAATTGATAGTTGTAATCTTTTGTAGATCATACAGTATTACGAGAATGGCTGACAAATCGAAGCCGACGATGTCGACGATATACCTTTATGTACCTAATATAATTGGTGAGTTTTGCTAATATTAATTGAATTGAATTTTATCTAGTTTTTGGTGAAATGAATTGCATTGTTAATTTAATTCTATGTATGTAAATGCAGGGTACATTAGAGTTATAATGAATTGTGTTGCATTTGCAATATGCTTTTCTCATAAAGGCCTTTTTTCAATTCTGTATTTTATAAGGTAATTGTGGACTACTGCTTACATAATATCATCTATATTTCTCTAATTGATGATGATTGTCTCGTCGATTTTTTGAGTAGTTGCTGAAGTTTGAATCTTTGGTTGTAGCTTTGTGTGTGATGGTATAGATGGATGGTTTGCTCGTAAACTCAATCAAGGTATGACTTTTATACATTTTGTGCGTTTTGAAAGAATGTCTTGTTTATTTATGATAACTTTAATGTTAGATAAAAGCAAAAGGGTTGCTTGCGGATAAGATTATGAGTTGTGGCGGTTTTCGATGATTTCTTATTGATTATAGGATTTTCTAGCATTAGGTATGTTATGTTGAGTTGGACCACATTAATTTGCTCTGACTTTATGCTCATTGTCTCTCCAGTATCAACATTTGGTGCCGTTTTGGATATGGTGACAGACAGGTCTGTCCCTTATTTCCATCCCTCCATTGCTATTTATCCCTTCCGTTCCGCTTTGCTATTGTAGTAATGCCCTGTTAACTTTTTATAGAAATGTTGTGAGCTGAATAGCTGATTGCCCCTTTCAAGTCCTATCTCAAAATATGTATACTACAATTTATCTATTAAATTGTATGCTGCTGAGAAGTGAAGCATTTATTGCAGTATTGATCAACGGAATTATATATTTTCCTGCTACCTGTACTTACATCTAGTAATGTGACTATTTCAGGATTAGTACTGCTTGTTTGCTAGTAATACTGTCTCAAATATACCGGTAAGTTCTAAATTTCAATGTAATTTATGTTCGCTTGTGCTTGTTACATAACTATGCATCTAATTTTTGTAGTTTTTTGCAGGCCTAGCTTGGTTTTCTTATCACTGCTTGCCTTGGATATAGCGAGTCATTGGTTCCAAATGTACAGGTATTCTGAATTTCTGATCCATCTGCCCAAAATCATTTCTTGAATGTTCTTCTATATTCGGTGATTTCATCTATTTCCTTACTGCAGTACTTTCTTGACCGGCAAGACTAGCCATAAGGATGTAAAAGACAGTTCTAGCTGGCTGTTCCGATTGTATTATGGAAACAGAATGTTTATGGCATATTGTTGTGTTTCATGTGAGGTAATGAGTCTTTGTTTTGTATGCCAGATGCAGCAGTTGATACAATTTCAATGTTTATGTCACTAATGTCATAAATCCACAGGTTCTGTACATAATCCTCTTTCTCCTTGCAAAGAACCAAACTGAAGATGTGGTTGATGTGAGCAATCTTTTATCCTACTACTATTTTTTTCCTTTTCAAGACAAAAGGGAAATTTATTAGAATTTTTGGAAACTTAAGCTATCATTTTAATTAATTAATTATTATTATCGTTATTTTTTTTTATATATATCTGCTTAAGTTTTCTCTTGTGCATTCTTACCGCAGGTATTACTTTCATCCAGAAAACATAGCTTGGCTCTCTTTCTTCTGGAAGTTCTAGTTCTTTTTGGATGGGCGGTCAAGCAAACAATCAATATTATTCAGGTAATTCTTGATTTTATCCTCATATTGTGCCTTTTATTTTCTTCACTATTGTGTTTAAGACTTCTGAGCTATGTTCTTTATTTAATTGGTGTACTTTCACAATTAATTTGATTATCCAAATGTACGATATTTTTTCTTGACAGGTGCAAAACATTTAGTAGTTATAAGGAATTCATATTTCAAGTGTTTAAATTTTTTGGTGGGCTCCCTTTATAAACTCTCTTGGAATTAATGAAATACTCCCTCCGTCCTTAAATTAACACCTCATTTTTCTTGGCACACTGTTTTAAGAGAGGAGTATTGGCACATTAAAGTTGAATTTATAAAGGTAATAAAAATTATTGATGTTTTAAAAGCAGAGATAATATAGAGGGTTATATGGGTTTTGTTGATTAGAAGGAATATATAAAAGAAGTTAGTGGATTCCCCACCCAAATGAAAAATGCGGCTTTTAATTTGTGACTTGAATTTTAGGAGTAATAGGGTTTATATTTAGGATGGAGGGAGTGAGACAGTAGTTTAAATTATTTACTTAGATAAGGATATCCTGCTATTCCTGCATGATGGATTTAGGGTTCTCAGTTGTCTTTGGTATCAGCTAGGAATTGGATGAATTCTCAGTGCTCCACCATCAAATGAAAGAGCTTTGTGATTTAGTTTGTTGGTAATTAAATCGTGACCAACTTAGATTTTGATCAGTCTCCATCCCCTATTTCGTATTTCATGATTTACTCCCCTTCCCCCCCCTCCCCAACAACAACAAAAAAAAAAAAAAAAAAAAACCCTATTTTGCTGGTTTAATAGTGTCCCCAATATTTGTATGCTGGAGGACGGATTTCATCATCTGGGAACCAACATAAGGGGGACTGTGATCAGTATCAATTTTCCTTTTCTTTCTGTTCATGGGCCATTCTTTTTAACTAAATCCTTCAAGATCTTGACTAGCTGGGAGGGCCTTTTCTTTTTTGTACGGATGAAATGGAGCTAGCTTTTTGACCTGGGATCTCTGTTTCCTTTCAATACCTTTGATGGTGTGGGCGTTTGGCTGATCAAAAGATGAACTTTACCAGAGAGGGGGAAGCTTGATGATGCGGCATGCTTCCTGCTCCAGTCATTTTCCCTTTTCTTTTGACTAATAGGATACATGATTGAGCACTTCCTTACATTGATTGTGTAAGAGTATTAGATTCCTCACTGTGCATCATCTTCCATAACCACTACTCCTTTGGTTCTTTATCTGCTTCTTGATTCTCATGGATCTTTACACTTATGGAATTTCTGCTTCCCTTAAACAAGAGGTGTGGGGGACTTCCCTTCATGATGATGGTAAAAGTGCTTTTCCCCTCTTTTATAACTTTCAAAGCTGAAAGAGGACATGCACTAGGATAAGTGAGGAAACTTACGATCAATGAGCACCAACTTTTAGGAACCTGAATTATCAATATATGTATAAGTTGTAACTTTGTTGCCCTTTGCAGGACTTGAGAAATTCTACATGTGGATTTTTTTTTTCTTCTCCTGAAGCCTTCTGTTACAGTCCTAAAACTAGGAGTCTTCTGTTGTCTCCATTGTGAGACAGCTAGAATTAGGTTACGATCTGCTCACCTCCTCTTCAAATTCTCAGGGGCTTTCCCTTATTAACTTAGAATGGTTTGTCTGACCCATCTAAATCCTTGCTGACTTTCAGTCTGCAATGTATCCTATCTAATGTTGCTTGAGACAGTTTTAATATGATTATTCATTCCTCTGGATCACTCTAACTCTATATGATTCCCCCTACATCACTATCATCAATTCATCATCGTTGTCACTTGGGTAAAAAGCCATGAGAAGCAAGATAAGTTAATAATTCATGATATAAAACCTTTATACAACCCAGCAATGAAATTCTCAATTTATTGATACCCTCTAACAGTAATAACAGCATATGGACAAACAACTCTTTATACACGAAGAAAACACAAAATTATGAACTTGAAAGTGTACAGAAGAATCTGGTGCAGCCTAGAAATTGTAGTGGTTTACTCACCTGCTTTCATGAACGTAGTTTAACTTCCGCTGGCTACTGGTGAGATTGGAACAGCTGGATCTTGGAAGGATTCCCTTGCAAGGATTTTTTTTTTTTTTTTTTTTTTTTTTTTTTTTTTTTTTTTTTTTGGCTACTGCTAATCATCCATTCGAGTAGGAATGTTATGCCTTATTTTCTTTGTATAGTAGATAAGCTTCTTCAATATTGACCTAACTTGCCCTTTTTTCTTTCTGCACAACTGCTGGTCTGATGTTAAAAGCTTCTTTACATCCCTGTATTTAACTCTTATTTCATTCCATGATTACCAGCTTAAAACCGCCGCAGATGCATGTGTTCTGCATGACATTAACAGAAAGCAGAAGGCATAATTTGGTCACCTTTCGATATCTTATGCTCCACTCTCTTGAATTCTCATTTGAGCGTGATGACGCTAGTGGCATTCCTCACCACATTGAAAGAACTACTGGTGATTTGCTGCTATTCAGGAATGCACAGATGAATTTGTGTCTCAGCTAATTGAATTCTCCCCAGCATGGCCAGCAGGTCTTTCGGATTAACCCTGAGGAGTTCTTGTGGATAATGATCTGATCAGTTTTTAGTTTTGAGGCTAATGTCATGCTCATTTTACTTTGATCAGTTGATGCTTTTCTTGTACTTTGATTGATGGGGTGCACATAAAAACATTTAATATTAGTAGAATAGTAGATGATAAATTTGATAAATGTATGGTGGTTGTGTTTTGTGACTACTTGTCTCATTTGCTCGCTATGCTTTTAGCCTGCATTATATTTTCTTGCTTTGTATTAATTGAAAGCAAATCGTTACTGAAGTCAAAATCTTGATGGCTTATCCATCTGGGTCATGTTACTCAAGACTGATTTTCAGAGGAAAGAATTATGCTAAATTATAACTGTACGGTCTGTACCTGACTAATCCGCTAAATAGGATATTTCGGGTGTTGCTAAGTAATTGCCTGTAGATCTGATCTGAAACCCTTAGTACCAATGGGAGCTCACTGATACACCAATAATCAGTTGAATGTGGCCATATTCTAAAATCATTACTGCTAATACTAATTTCTAGAGAAACATTAATATCTTTGGATGCCTTGTACTTGTACACGATCTGTGGTGAAGTTTGTGTGTGTAACCATTCTTCTTACAAAGAATAGGGACATCTCTAAAGGGCTATTTTCTGTGTATATTGTGCATGATACAAACAACTAAATGTATTTTTGTACATGTGCATCTCGCCTTAATTTTACAACCGGTTTTAAGGTGAACATCTTTGTTTTAAAGACACCAACATTGCACTCTATACATCTTCTATGGTGACATAATGGGTAGCTTAAGAGAGTTACATAAAAAGTATGTATCAATGTATGTATGGTGAAAATGGTTCTTCTATGGTGACACAATGGGTAGCTTAAGAGAGTTACATAAAAAGTATGTATGTATGATGAAAATGGTTAAAAAATTAATTGAAACATAACCATTAGGAAAAGCACCCAAAATGACAAAAAAATAAAATCAAAAACTACTTCCTGAGTTATCTTGTTAATTACTCGCTCCTTAACTTATTACTTGTTTTCACTTTCTTTTACGGTCATTTTTCTTACTAGTTTCCATTCCAATTTTGGAATCTATTTACATTATTTATTATTTTTCTTACTACTAGTGGTAACGTCATATCATATTTTGATATTTTTCATATTTCCTCTCCGCCCCATTTATACCAATGGTTGTTCATTGGTTAAAGACCGGATCGATGAAGCTGGGATGGAACCTGAATCGGACCATTTTGGACACTGTTTTTAAAAAAATTTATAATAAATACTAAATTTTTAATAATTTTTGGAAAATAAAGATAAAGGAAAAACAATATTTTAATGTCTTTTTTGTATGTTGAGTACAAAAATGTTTTTTTTTTTTTTTTTTTTTGACGGGGAGTACAAAAATGTTCTTACAATTAAAGTTTTCTAAATTTATTAAGGATAATATTAATCATTATTTAAGGTTTTATATAGAATTTTAAGAAAAAATCAATCAGGTCCAAGATCGATTTTTATAGGATTTTAGACCGGGCCGGAAACATAAATCACTCAATTTGGAGATCGGACCGATTAATTCGGACTAATTTGGATCCGACCCTTACTTATACCTAATTTTTTATTATATTTTATTTATTTATTTAACCAACCCACCACCCATCTTAAGCTAATCTTTCCACTATCTCCTAACATAGTTTAGTTCTCGTCACTTTGGCCCACAACCCAAGTCCTCATGTCCTAGAAATGAAGGTAGTGAAGAGTGTTCTCTTCTCTGCAATGTTCCATAAGTTCCATCCATGGCCATGGCCCATGGGCTCCATCATGACATCACCTTCTTTAGACTCGTATACATCACATTCTTTAACCCATATGAATTTAACGACTCAACAAGTCAAATAATTCTCAGTAATAGCAACATCTATCTTCCTTTTCTAAGCCCTAGTCCGCCATGAGTTTTCACTATGAATTAAGATGGTTGCTTTTACTTATTAATCAACTTGTTTCTTCGGCCTGAATTCTATATTTAGTGATAGCTCTCAAACCTTTTCCAAAACCATACCACTTCTTATGGTTGTGCTCTTCTTCCTCTCTACATTCGTAGTTTTCTTCTCCGCCGTTGATCTTACCCACGGCCTCGGCATCCTCTTACTCATTTGTCATCCTCTCTCCTCAAATCCCAAAATCTAGCCCAAATTGCTGCAATAACAACCTAAATTGCTCAAATCAGGTACGTTTTTCTTCGATTTTGTTCTAATTTTATGAATTTTGCAGGAGTTAAAGCCGATTTTTTATATTTTTGATTTGATTTTCAATAATTTCGGCGATTTTAGGGTTCAAACTTCGGCGATTTGAGGGTTCAAACTTAGCGTTGGAATTTCAGCGATTTTAGTGTTCAAATTTCAGCGATTTCAGTGTTAGAATTTCGCAATATGAGGTTATTTCACCGCTGCTCTTGATTATTAGATAATTTTAGCCCATTTTTTCGATTTTTGCATATTAATTAGTTCGATTTATGTTCGAATTATTTTGTTCGATTTTTGTTGTTTTTTTTCCTGTCAATTTCGAATAGATTTTCAAGAATTTCTTAATTTTTGTTTTTTTTTTCTTCAAATTTAAACAATTGATTATAGATCTGTCAATTTTTGTTCGATTTTTGCTTCAGTTTTTTATGATTTATTGTATATCAGTGCAAAATGTATTAGACTTCTGTGATTTGTAAATAAGCTTAGCATGTTCCAAATTATTTTTCAGCATGTTCGAAACTCTTTCTCAACATGTTCTAAATTAGTTATTTACTAGTGAAAGATCCATCATTGATTTACAGTTTTGGCACTAATACTAAGTTTCAGTCCTTTGTACTGTTCTTGAGCCATTCAAGATATGGGGCATAGTAATAAGCATATCTTATCCTACTCAAATAATAAACGAAAAAATAAGGTCCTTCAGAGCCTATAATTAAGAATTCTATGAATAATCACAGGTAAGTGAGGAAACAACCATAGTCAGGTGCTCCAAAACTCACATGTCAGGTTTCACACATAAGTACAAAACAAAACTCAAAATACACTTGTATAATGTTCTAAAGTTTTTTTTTTTAAAAAAAATTATGTTCTAAACTCATTCTATATTAGATTGAGATTTATCTAATGATTGAGATTTAATCATGTTCTAAACTCTTATTTTTTTTTAATCATGTCCGAAATTGTTTTTGAGTTTTGTTATAATTATGATATAATTATGATATCATGTTCTAAACTATTTTTCAGCATATTCTAAACTATTCTTATGTTTAAAATATATTACTAATGTTGGAATGTTACTAATGTTTTTTATTTCTTAAAATTGAAGCAAAATGCAAAGCCAAAATGAAGAAAATCAGAAGAAGAAATTACTATTATACTGGATGAAAAAATTACTTATGGAAGAAAAAGGTAATTAAAGTTTATGTATTATTTTTCCCTTATGTTCTAAAGTTTTCTCTTATGTTTAAAAGTATTTCTATTATATTGTAAAGTATTTATATTATGTTCTAAGGTTTTCTATTATGTTCTAAAGTATTTCTATTACGATCTAAAATTTTCTATTTTATTCTAAAGATTATCATATATGTTTGAAATTATTTATATTACATATCAATGTTTTAAAGTACTTTTGGTTATATTTTAAAGATTATCATATATGTTCTAAGTCATTTATATTTAATTTTAAAGGAAAGTTGTTGAAAATAAAGCGAAAGTAATTAACAAAGCTGAATTTCAGAAACATGTGCAAAGCCTAAAACGAAAAAAAAGTAGCAAGCTTTCATCAAGGATCCAACCACCTAGAAAAATGAAAAAAAAGGAAGAAGAAGATGATGACGATGATGAGAATGATGATCAAGATAATATTAATGATGAGATGGATGGACCAAAGTTGGAGGAGAAAGATGATAAAAGAGAGGACGTGAAAGATGATAATAAAAAGAATCTAAATTGTTTGTTGATGTTCTAAATTATATGCTAATGTCATAAATTGCATGTGTATATTCTACATTCATGCTTATGTTATAAAGTAAATGATTTATTTGATATGTAACTTTATTTTTGTAAGTTACATGCTTACATTTCCAAGTTTATGTTTTAAATTATATACATATGTTCTAAACGTTATTTTTATAACAATAACCTATCTGTTTATGTTCTAAGTTACATGTTCTAAACAATAAACTTATGTTAAAAAGTTTGTGTTCTAATTCAATTTTTTTTTCTCCTAATTTGTATTCTTATAATCTGATATGCTTGCGCATGTTATAAAACTATGTGCTCATGTTAATACTATGTGCTCATTGTAAACTATGTGCTTACAATGCTTAAGTGTTCTTAAAAAAAAAAATGAAAAGTAAGAAAAAAAAGATTGAAAAAGAAAAGGATGATGAAGATGTCAAAGTAATCAAAGAGGAAAAAAAATAAGAGATCAAGAGTTACTGCTAAAGAATTGATGAAACAAGTGTTGGTAGATCTTTTTGATAAGCATAAACAAGCAATTAAGAAAATTGGATTTGGAGTTTTTTGGAATTGGATGCACCACATTATGTTGATTCTTGGTAAGCACTAGTATTAACTTTTATTTTTTGTTTTTATGATTTAAAGATCAACTATTATATTCTAATTCTTATAAAGTTCTTATTAATATCTAAAGTTTAATTATTATGTTAATTTTTATTTTTATTTCTATTCTAATCTATATGTATTTTGTATTCTAAACCTTTAATTTAAATCTAGGTTGACAGAACAACTTCTTACTAATTTTGATCCTAAAAGATGTTGCTTGATGCTAACGGGGAGAGAAGAAGAAATATTTTTTTGATGAAATTGATGTTCACATGACATATGGATTGCCAATGGGAGATATTGCAATTCTTGATACAAAAGAAAATAGGAATGTGAAATGTGTTAACTTTATGCAAAAATGGAGAAAAAACTTTAACCTTAAAGTAGTATGAATATTTTTATGTGTGCTTGTATTCTAAATTTGTTATTTGGCTTATGTTCTAAATTATATTTTTGCAAATTTACGTTGGAAAAACTTTGACCTTGAACTGGTATGAAAATTACTTTAAAACACACATTATGTTGTATATATCTATGTGTGCTTGTACATTACATGTTATTCTAATTATGTTCTAATGTATATATTTATGCTCTAAATTAATGTTTTTAGTTACATGTGTATGTTGTAAAAGTAATTCTTATTATGTTCTAATTTACATATCAATGTTCTAAAGTATTTCTAATAATGTTCTAAATTATACATCTATGTTTTAAAGTATTTTTGACTGATTTCTAAATTACATGTCAATGATCTAAATTATTTCTAATAACTTATTTTTATAATGTTGTAAAGTATTTTTAATTATGTTCTAAGGTATTTTTAATGATGTTCTAAATTACTTGTCCATGTTCTAAATTACTTACAGGGTGCTCCAACAAATGGATAATTGATTAGTAGGATCCAAAAGGTGAAAGGGGTAGATGAAGCACAAGATCAAGTTTCGGATGAATTCATTTGGAATTTCTTGGTTTGTGTGGTTAATAGTTGTATCCGTTCAGCTAATAGCAACCGACTATACATTTTGTTTTTGTATAGTTGCAAGGATATAAAGAATATAGTTAAGTTGGATTGTTGCAAATTTGTTAAGGAGCACTTGATGGAAACTTTTAAAAAATGGCTAGATGGAAAATCTTTTTTCACGGGTCCTTTAATCTTTCTTATGTTAATTTTTAATTTTTTAACATTCTTTATATATGTTATTTATATTATGATAAAAATGCACTAAAATGGTATACTTAATTAACCTAATTTTAAGTTATTCTGATTATGTTCTAATGTACATATCTATGTTCTAAATTACTTGTTTATGTTCTAAAGTAATTCTGATTATGTTCTAAGTTACATGTCTATGTTCTAAAGTATTTCTAATGATGTTCTAAATTAGATATCTATGTTCTAATTTACATATCAATATTCTAAAGTATTTCTAATGATGTTCTTGTAGGTATCCTATTTTGATCGGGTACAAAGGAAGGGGTTAGAGATACCAAGTGGAGTTCCACTAATATCATTGTGGAACCAAGAAAGATTTCATACAAGATTCAAGTTTGAGAAATACCTTGGATTTTCTGGAAAAGTACTAGAAAGAATGAAATTGAATGTGGTATGATTTTTTTTTTTTTTTTTTTTTAATGCTTATGTTCTAAAGTTTATAATATATGTTTTAAAGTTTATTATGCATGTTTATTTTATGTTCTAAAGGAAAAGAAAAGTGAAGGTCCATCAATGGTAATTATCGTTTTATATTTATCAATACATTATGTTTATGCATGTATTCTAAAATTTGTAATTTATATTTAAAAAGAATTGGAAAAAAGGCATGGGAAAGACAAAGGCAAGAAAAAAGAGCAACCCTTGACAATTAGAGAAAAACAAGGGGAGAAGAAAGTAATGAAAAACAGTTCATTGCATTGTTAAAAAATCAAGGGAAAGACAAAGGAAAGGAGAAAGTTATGGAAAACCAATCCATGACTTGTAATTCTATCACTACTCCAAATGACATGATGGTGTAATGTTTTAATATTTTTTTTAATTAATTTATTTACTTATTTTTATAATATTTTAAATATTCATTATTTTATATTCTAAATTATTATGGCTTTTTAAACAAATTTGGAGATTTGGCAAAAAGTCTTGCATCGAATGTGAAAGAGATTTATAGCATGTTGGACCAAACAAAAAATCTCTTTGTTGAGGAAGAAACAATTGGGAAAATGTATCATCTTATAGAGAACATTTGCTGCAAGTATACCACAAAGGTATTATAATCATGTTCTAAACTATTTTCAGTATATATTCTAAAGTGTAATTTTTATATTTATAATAGTTCAACATGTATAAATGCCTCATTGGATTCTAACTTATGTATTCTTATATGTAGCCATTGGTAAGTAAAGAAGAAGAAAAACAACCGAAAAATAGTCCTTCTATATCTAGTCAAGAACATTTCTTCGATGAGCCAACATTCATAGAAGAATTGGATATGTTAATGAATATAGAATGGAAGAAATTCAATATAATGATGAAAGTCACCAAAGACATTGGGACATGTCCAATTTAGAAATTAGACATTGGGACTGTCCAATTTAGAAAGAAATTAAACATGTTTAATTTGTAAATTGGACATGTCCCAATGTATTTGGTGACTTTTTATCATTGAATTTCTTCAATTCTATGTTCATCAACATATCCAATTCTTCTATGAATGTCGGCTCATCGAAGAAATGTTGATCTTGACTAGATATAGAAGGACTTTTTTTCGGTTGCCTTTGTTCTTCTTGATTTACCAATGGCTACATATAAGAATACATAATTTAGAATCCAATAAGGCCTTTATACATGTTGAACTATTATAAATATAAAAATTACATTTTAGAACATAGGCTGAAAATAGTTTAGAACATGATTATAATACTTTTGTGGTATACTTGCATCAAATGTTCTCTATAAGATGGTACATTTTCCAAATTGTTTCTTCCTCAACAAAAAGATCTTTGGTTTGGTCCAACATGCTATACATCTCTTTCACATTCGATGCAAAACTTTTTCTCAAATCTCCAAATTTGCTTAAAAAGCCATAATAGTTTAGAATATAAAATAATAAATATTTAAAACATTATAGAAATAAGTAAATAAATTAATAAAAAAAATATTAAAATATTATACCATTATGTCATTTGGAGACGTGATAGAATTACAAGCCATGGATTGGTTTTCCATAACTTTCTCCTTTCCTTTGTATTTTCCTTTCTTTTTTAACAATGCCATTAACTGTTTTTTCATTACTTTATTCTCCCCTTGTTTTTCTCTAATTGTCAAGGGTTGCTCTTTCTTCTTGCCTTTGTCTTTCCCTTTCCTTTTTTCCAATTCCTTTTAAATATAAATTACAAATTTTAGAATACATGCATAAACATAATGTATGGATAAATATAAAACGATAATTACCATTGATAGACCTTCACTTTTCTTTTCCTTTAGAACATAAAATAAACATGCATAATAAACTTTAAAACACATATACAATAAACTTTAGAACATATATTATAAAGTTTAGAACATATAGTATAAACTTTAGAACATAAGCATATAAAAAAAAATCATACCACATTCAATTTCATTCTTTCTAATACTTTTCCTTTTCCAAATCTAAGGTATTTCTCAAACTTGAATCTTGTATGAAATCTTTCTTGGTTCCACAATGATATTAGTGGAACTCCACTTGGTATCTCTAACCCCTTCCTTTGTACCCGATCAAAATAGGATACCTACAAGAACTACTTTAGAATATTGATATGTAAATTAGAACATAGATATATAATTTAGAACATCATTAGAAATACTTTAGAACATAGACATGTAACTTAGAACATAATCAGAATTACTTTAGAACATAAACAAGTAATTTAGAACATAGATATGTACATTAGAACATAATCAGAATAACTTAAAATTAGGTTAATTAAGTAGACTATTTTAGTGCATTTTTATCATAATATAAATAACACATATAAAGAATGTTAAAAAAATTAACACAAGAAAGATTAAAGGACCCGTGAAGAAAGATTTTCCATCTAGCCATTTTTTAGAAGTTTCCATCAAGTGCTCCTTAACAAATTTGCACTAATCCAACTTAACTATATTCTTTGTATCCTTGCAACTATACAAAAACTAAATGTATAGTCGGTTGCTATTAGCTGAACGGATGCAACTATTAACCACACAAACCAAGAAATTCCAAATGAATTCATCCGAAACTTGACCTTGTGATTCATTCACCTTTTGGATCCTACTCATCAATTGTTCATTTGTTGGAGCACTCTGTAAGTAATTTAGAACATTGACAAGCAATTTAGAACATTAGACAAGTAATTTAGAATATAATAAAAAATACCTTAGAACATAAACTTAAATACTTTAGAATATAATCATAAATACTTTAGAACATTATAAAAATAAATTATTAGAAATACTTTAGATC